GCACAATCGCTTCGTGAAGATGCAGGGCAGTAAGCTGACGCGAAGCTCCAAGAAGGACGTCACCGACCTGCCCCATGATTGGACTTCGGAGCGCTTCACTGTGGTGGATGCCGGAAGCAGCCGAATCGCGCTGCAGGATGCGGTGCACAATCGCTTTGTGGCGAAGGGCGCCTCCAGCGCCCACCGAAATGCGGACAAGCTTCCCAACTGGGGCTCCTTAAAGTTTGAGGTCTACCCTGCGGGCAACGGGGAGATCGTTCTTTACAACAAATTGCACAACAAGATGCTTCGGATGTCAGGCAGCAAGGTTGACATGTCTAAGAGCAAGAAGCCCGGGGATTTGCCAGACACATGGACCTGGGAACGCTTTCGGGTGGTGCGTGTGAAGCCCTACCTGCAGCCCGGTAGCACCGTGGCCCTCTGGTGCAAACATCACCGCCGCTATGTGAAGATGAACCCGGGCAGCAATCCAGGATCATTCCTCTTGGCCAGAGCCAGAGCAAGCTACGCGAACCACACGCAGAATGACACCCTCATCCAGTTTCCTGCGTTCAAGTTCACGTTTCCGAAGATCACGGATATAGTCAAGAAGGCTGCGGAAGAAGCCAAGAAGACAGCCACAAAGGTGACCACGAGCACGAAGACGCCTAAACCCAAAGTGGCCAAAGCGGTGCCAAAGGATGGGCGCATCGTCCGCAGCTCAGAGCGGAGTGGCGACGGCATCCCCGACTCCTGGAAGTGGGAGCGCTTCACCGTCGTGGACGCCGGCAACGGCCAGGTGGCCTTCCACAACAGCATGCACAATAGGTGGGAGTTTTCAGAACAAATGTGGAAACCAAGAGTGGAGGATGCTCATTGTCAAGACCCCGAAAAGGGACCCTAAAGCCCCAGTGTCTGAGATTCCGAGGTTCATGAAGATGACATGGGACAAGAAGATGGTTGTCAGCAAAGCGAAAACGGTCGATGCCCTGCCGAGCACCTGGACGGCTGAGCGCTTCACCGTGGTGCCTGCCGGGAAAGGAGAGTTCGTGTTCCACAACTCACTCCGCAACCGCATGATTCGCATGACGAAATCTGAGGTGGATGCGAGCGGCAAGAAGAGCCCACAAAGCTTGCCGAAAAGTTGGAAGTCGGAGCGGTTTCAGCTTGTGCCTGCCAAGCCTTACTTGCAGCCCGGGACCATCGTCGCTCTGCACTGCGGAAAACACAACCGCTTCGTCCAGATGACATCAAGGTCTTCCTTATCTCCCACCCAGAGAAGGGGTCGTAATGACCTGCCACCGAGCTGGACAGACACTCTCTTCACCGTGGTGGACGCCGGGAACGCGCAGGTAGCGTTCTACAGCAACAAGCACCACCGGTTCCTCAAAATGAACGGCGCCAAAATGGAGACTGGAACCAAGTTAGGGTCCTGGGAGCGCTTCACCGTGGTGCCTACCGAAGACGA